CCAAATTTCAACCCATGACCACGAAATACCTTTGCGTTTGCTTTACACCAAAAGAGCTACAGGCCAAGTTATCGAGTTGACGAAATTCTCCTGTGTTTAAATTTTTATTGAATTGATACTCAATTATTATGTTCCATCTTTGTATTAATAATTATAACAAACTAGTGGAGTAATTTCACATAAAAAATAATTGAGTAACAATTCAATAAAAATTTAAATACAGTGTATACAGCGACTGTGTGAAGCGAATAGCGACATCTCTAGCCGGGGCTGGTAGCTGTAAAGGTATCTAACAGGGCGACGAAATACTTTCATAGATTTCTCATAGATGGCGGTACGCCTAAAAAGTAATGAAAAACCAAATACAAAGATACGACAATAAGACCATAGAAAATTTCGTGAGGTCCGCTGGTTCGTTCCGTGGCTTAGTTGGTATAGCGTCTGGCATGGTACGCTAGAAGACGTCGGCTGGAACCGGCCGGATCGAAGGAATTTTTTCTAAGTATTCGATCTTTGTATTAATTCTCCTATGTGTTTTTGTTATACATCTTTGTACTGGTTGTCGGCTTTCGCCACCATAAGTGACGTCTAGTGAGAGATTTTAGAAACCTCACCGCAGCCGGGAACTTTACAGTTACGTCAAGCTGACGTTGATGTCGCTTTTTGGTCAAATGTATTATTGAAATTTTTTTCATTAATAAATCATAATAAACTGGTAGAGTTATAGTCAATACAACAACTAAATAAGTCGTGCTCGAAATTAGGAGCAAATACCACAGAGGGATCCATAGTGGTACTAAAATTATAATCTCAGTACTAAAAAACCGACCTTAAAAGTCATTCATCCCCTAAAATAAGAAACACAGTATTCCCTGTCTTGACCCAATCAGTCTCGGTCAATAACTCAGGTTTAAGAAACAGCACAAGATATCTGCCATATTAAACAGTACCATTTTCTACTTTGGTACAGGAAGCGATATGCTATAGATATCCAATTGCCTCAAGTTACAGTCTACTGTAATTAAGGTCACGTATGCATCACTTAGGGTCGTATTCTAGAACTCTACTCAATGCTCAAGTCAGGATCTGAGTATGATTTCAAGCACTGGAAATACGACCCTAATGGCAGGGACTTGAGTATGATTTCGAGTGCTTTAAACCATACTCAGATCCTGACTTGAGCATTGAGTAGAGTTCTAGAATACGACCCTGAGATTTGTAAGTGATCTATTGTGATTAACACTAATTACCCCCATTGTGCAGAACTTGCAATATAATAGAGGATCTGTATCATGTATTGGTGGAATGTGACCGTAACGTATCCCTGAGAGGTACAATGTTTGGGGATGTAAGTTTATGCAATGGACAAATTAATTGTTGGCTCAGAGAGCCTGTATGTCTTGGCGCTCTAAACTTGTACAAGTTTTTGAACATGTCCCTTGAGTAGGGAACCCAGTATTCCTCTCATGAGGCTGACATAATCTCCCAAGGCGGCTAAAGTCTCAATAAAAAAATAGATTATAAAATAAATAAAAAACACTAATTACGACTCGGAGACAAGGTCAATAGCATCAAAGAACTGTAGTTTTTTTAATTTCGATGACCTCCTCTGACTGAGGCACGTGTTGCATCATTAGTTTGGGAGGTGCAAAGGAGTCTGTCTGTATGAATCAACGGAAAATTCCCATAGAGTTGACCTACAAAATAATTTGAACTCGGTAATGCTCAATCACACTGTTAACATTACAGATATGTCCTTCAATGAGAAAATTGATATCTGTTACAGTTTGTGTGACTAATTTTACTTACTATTTTACATATATTTTAAGTAAAAATTAATGGAAGACATGAATGTTAAATATTTAAAATATTTAGTAGCAGTAGAGCTCCTTGTGAAAGAGTTTGTCCAGGGTAGTACTGCCATCTTACCCATCTTACCTGCCGCCAAGCAGTAATGTTAGCATTACTGTGTTCTAGTTTTGAAGGGTAAGGGTGCTGGTAAAATTACATGTGACTAGTCAACTTATGTCTCAGGGTGACGGGCGCAGTGGTAGTGCCCTTCAGATCTTTGCAATTTAAAGTTCTGAGTGGCACTGTAACTATTCTTATCATCAGGTGCCTGACTTCTTCATACCGGCTTCATTCTTCATACTTGATGTTATAAAAAAAATTTAACTAACAATATAGAATAATCCAATTAGTGTCATCACTTTAAATTCAGTGATTGGCTATTGATGGACTAATATGTTTTTCTGCATATGGTGCCAATATTAAAATAACTTTAACTTATAGGCTGCTTCACTCCGGAAGATGAAATTTTGTCTAAATAAACCATTGAGTATATAACAAGATATAGAGATGAAATGTCATTTAATTTGTTTGAAAACTATTCTGCCATATCATTACTGTGACAACTGCACCGATTGGCCAGCCCGAATTCAAAACAATTGACGGGTGTCATCAATTGTTTCACTACAAATCTACCAGTTAACTTGAGCTTGCTATAATGGAAGAAATTTACAAAATTACATATTAAATATTTAATTACTGATGAAATTTGATACCATTTGTTTTGTAATTAGATGTTTTGCTGTTTTTCCCCACACCACCGAATGGAACAGCACACCATTGTTAGTGAAATTATCTTTATTACAATAAATACAGAATATTTTTGGAATACACAGAGAGGTAGACACAGGTCAGTTGTTGGCTCTGTACTATTTCAGCTTTCTAATTTGTAATTTCAGTGCAAACAAGAGTTGATATTTAAGTGATGTATCACTGATGAGGTACCAGGAATGTAGGGCCCTTATTTCGTCTCTATTTCTGGTTATATACTCGATGAAATAAACACAATGGATGTGGCTTTTTTGTTATACCAAATGAAGGGACAGACAAGTCGTGCACCTGGTGATAACAGTGCTCGCAAAAATGGGAGGGGTACTGCCGCTGCGCCCGTCGCACTGAGACATAAGTAGACTAGTCCAATGTGCCTGTAATTTCACCAGTACCCTTACCCTTCAAAACCAGTACGTAGTAATGGTCACATTACCGCTTGGCAGCAAGATTGCGATAAGAAATTACTCCAATCTCAAATATTGTCCTAGGCGGAAGGAGCTAAACGCAATTCAATTACTGCACATCTACTTTTATAACCTATACCACCTACGATACTTTTTGAAGTCAAAAAGCCGCAGGCCGGCGCTAATTGGTAATAAAACAAATTTACTATTATTACTTTTGACACATTAGTTTAAAAATGACAATATTAAACGCTATTCTGTAACCACGACACTGAACTGTAGAATTAGAAAATAGGAAGTATGAAATGAAGTCACGAGATGCCTAAGTTACCCGGTTATGTCGGTAAATAAATTAAACTGTTCAGAATATAAATTATGCAAGAAATATGACGTCATTACATACCTAGTATGATTTTTCGGCGGCTCGCATGAGGCTCCTCGGTGTAGACCCATTCAAAATCTGTTCTTGACACTTTAGCACCCATTTTTTATTTAACTGACGAAATCTAGTAGGACATAACACTATGATATAAACACGATAAATAACGTATAATAATAATAATAATAAAATAATAGTTTCGTATAAATATGTAAAATAAAAATAAGTTCGTATAATTATTTTTTTTAGAAAAATATGATTTCACCGCGCTGCGCTGCTATGCGGTGTGACAGCGGTAAAAGAAGGTTACAATTTGAATGAACAAAGAGCGGTCGCGGCTTCATATAGTTAAAGCTTATTAGACTTTATTTTTTTCCATCCTCTAAGACTCTAACTTGACATTACATTTGACAGTTGAATGAAAATAATGTACGCGATGAATGAATTTGGTTGGAAATGAATGAATAGTACTTGGGTGTTCACACTCGCGAAATGCTGGCTAGTTTAAGGAAAGAAATATTAGGTAACTATAAAAAAATATGGAATATGGAGTGCACAATACTGAACTTTATATTTCGATCTGATTAATTAAGCCATACAGTTCGTTACTAAAATAGTAAAATTATGTCACTGTCTCTAAATTATCCTAGTATCTTAACCTCATCATCATAAACGTTTCAGCCGAAAGACGTCCACTAGCCTTCCAGGATTCCCGCAACCTTTACCGTCACCGATCCACTTGTGAGTGATCTGCCCACGCTGCGTCTTCCAGTAAGCGGTCGTTAGTCGAGAACTAATAATACACTTTGGTCTCGGCCACGGCTATCTGCTCTGCGAGCAATGTGCCCCGTACTCTATTTCCCTTGCAGATACCTCATTACTAATTTGATCTTACAATGAATCTTATCCTAATATAAATACTTTCGAGAGCCATTAAAATGCTTCCTGATCAATCATGCTTATAATAAATAAGTCAACGGCTATTTTGGTGCCGGGATATTTACAGCCGATTTCATATGAATTTGTCTGGGAAACCTAAGGGCCGGCAGCTATCTTGCCCAACTCATTAGCATAGCAATACAAATGGGGAACGCTGCCAGCATTTTACATACAACTTTTATATTTATTTAAAAATCCTAGTTTTACTTTCTGTATTTAAGCTTTTATTGTCTTTTTTACCTTAGCTGTATATTATCTTAATTAAATAAAATTTGATGCGCTAAATTCAAATACGGCATTGCTTTTGCCCAAGAGTTCATATTTTTAAGATACAATTCAACTCAATGTATTTGTGAAATATATTTTATACGAGTACTATTTTAAGGAAAGTAAAGTAGAAAGATGACCACTGAATTAGTATTTTTATGCATGCGAACTTGTATTGTCGCGGTCCTGTACAACTACCGGAGGATATCCACATATCGCTTGTCAATACCACATTTATGAAGTATATTATACACTATTTGTTATTTATTTCGACGTAGTAAATATGTATTTATGTAAAATAAGTCGATTGAAAGATCTAAGTCGGCTCGCTTGAATTGTCTCTTACACCATAAAGAAAAGAAATTGCCAACATTCTGAAAATAATTTTTGACAGTTCCTCCGTCCATAGACAATAAATAGCCTTTCTCAAGTTTGTGTGTGAACATGGCGGTCGGTAAAAATAAAGGCCTATCGAAAGGCGGTAAAAAGGGTGTTAAAAAGAAGATGTAAGTTACAATAAAGCCAAAATTAATTTATTGAAATAATAATCCGTCCAAATTGCTTATGTCTTGTGTTTAAGTGTTTGTGATTATCAAAGTAATTGTGGATGAAAGTTGGTGTCTCGTGTCAAACGTTTAGTTTTAACATAATTTTTCCCTAAATAACTTAAGATTTGAAGGCGTTAAAGTACCGGCTTAGCCGATTATTTAGATACATATTCAATAATTAGTGCAAAAACGTATATTTCAGTAGTTTCAACATAGTTAAGTTGAATTTATTTTTGAGGTTATACCAAACCTGGTTACTTTCTTTCAGTGTGGATCCCTTCACCCGTAAGGACTGGTACGATGTCAAGGCACCGTCTATGTTCACCAAGAGGCAAGTGGGAACCACCCTTGTCAACCGTACTCAGGTACATTCATTCGTTGTTTATTTGTTTTAGGTTAGGTATTTCAAAGCAATTTTATCATTTTAAAAACTCTGAAAACCGATCAAATACTGAATAAAGCCTTTAAAAGAACTTCAAATAACACTCAAAAGTGTGATTTACATGTAATTTTTATTAAAAATCGCCACATGGTTCTTGAGTTCACAAAAAAATATATATATATAAAAAAGGCGTCAAAATGATGATCCACTCAGCTCTCTATGACCACATACATGATGAAAATTCGTGTTCCCTTTTGATTTATGTCTGAATTTGCCATAGAAACCTTTTATAAGCATATTAAATCGTAAGAATGTATGCAGATGACATGTGTTCTTATTTCAGGGTACGAAAATTGCTTCTGAAGGACTGAAGGGGCGTGTTTTCGAAGTATCACTGGCTGATCTTCAAGCTGACACTGATGCCGAAAGGTCAGTTCCATTTCAAACCAGACCTGTGTCAGTTGATCATTTTTGATAACCTGTGTTGATCAAGTTCATGACCCATGCGTAGTATGATCCGGTCAAATGATTAAATCATATGTTCGATATTTTAGCGGGTCACCCGTCCCCCATACTCGTGATACTTCCATATGGCGTTTAAAAGTGTCAAATTATACATGGGCGCACTATGAGTTTCCGGAACTGGCCACTCACATAAACAATATTTAAAAAGTTATTACACATTTGAAAACTGAACTCTTTGGCTGTAGAATAGTTTGTTTCATCTCACTGTCACGTGTTTTTACATTGTGGCGTCATTTTAGAAATTGGTTGTCTACATCATCATGCATTTAACTCGTGAAAATTTTCATAGTATTATATTTTTTACGACTTACAAGTGTAATCGAACAGCTCAGTGGAGCTTCACTCGGTTTCTAACTGCTTTTGGCGATGATGCACCATGCATGACGACTATTTATAACTGGTTTGCAGAATTCACACGCGGTCTTGTGAATCTTTGACGAATTTCGTTATGTTGCCCGACCACTGCTGTGAACAACAAAAACATCGATACTTTGCGCCGTATGATCAAAACAGACGCAAGTGACGTACCATGAGATTCGGGCATCTTTAGGCATAGGCATGAGTCAAATACAACCAATACTATATAAACACAAAAAAAGCTGTGAAAAAGCTGTGCTCTCGGTGGATCCCACACACTTTGACTGAGGCTCAAAAAACGGAGCGCTTCACTTGGTGCAATGCCACGCTTACCAGATTCAACGAAGGGGCGTCAAATTTGGTGTGGGACATAGTAACAGGTGATGAGATATGGCTTTATAGTTACGATCCCAAAGCAAAGCAGCAATTGAGTGTATGGGTCTTTCGAGATGAGCCGAAACCAGCCAAAGTGGCGCGCGTGAAAACTGCCTCTAAGCGGATGATTTCTTCTTTTTTTTAATAAAACTGGCTACTGTTACTTTGGAGAATCTTTATACCGTGAATAGTGATTGGTACATGACCATTTGTTTGCCTGAAGTTATTGACAAACTCCGTAAAAATAATCGTAAACGCCGCATCATCTTGCATCACGATAATGCCAGCTCTCATACAGCCAGACAGACAAATGGATTTTTGAAGGTGAACAACGTACAGCGTACAGTCCCGGCTTGGCGCCTTGTGATTTTTATTTATTTCCAAAAATTAAGAACCAGTTACGCGGTCTGCAATTTTCATCACCTGAAGAGGCTGACGAAGAGTATTAAAAATATGTTTCAGAGATTGACACGGAGGAGTGACATAAATGTTTTCAAAGTTGGTTCATTCGTATGAAAAAGTACTTTAACGCTAACGGAGAATATTTTGAGAAACAATAAAAAATTTCTGACCATTTATACTATTTTTTTCTTATTCATTCCAGTACATGTACAATTAGCTTTTATTCTTTCCTGCTGATGGGAAATGTGTCTATAGTTAAATGCATCATTAATAAAATACACTTAGGACACTAAAATTGCCTTCTAGGATAACTAACAATGTTACAAACCAAAAATACATAGCAAAAAACTTATGAGCATTCAAAATTACTCATTTATTATTCATTAATATTAGCTAGTACACTCTTAAATAAACACAGCATACCGAAAAACGGATTAAATTTACAAAATTACCATGCGATGGATAAATGATTGATAGATTCATTGATCCGTTAACCCGTTGACTCATTGTGTCAACGAAGGTTCTATCGAATGAATGCTCTATCAAACAAATGTTCGACCCAAATGAAGAGTAAGAAGGCGAACTGCGTCGTGAGTGGGGACTTCAAGTGAGAGTGAACGAGACAACAATAATATTGTGAATTGTTGAATAATCTCTAAAATTATAAAGATAAAGTCGAATATTGCGCGCATGACCCTTGAAACTAAAATGATCGGGTTATTTAGAAGCTAGTAACCTGGTTATCGGGTCACAGGTGCTGTCGAATCATATTGATTCGATCGAACACGATCAACAGACATCCATTTCAAACCTTATATTACACTGGGTCGTTTTCAAGCAGCACATACACACTTTTACGAGCAGTTCAAGAGTGCTCGAAAGAAATATAATATTTGATTACTGGTACATATCTCATAATGTGACTGGTGCAAGTAAAAATGTAGTTTTTGTCCTTTGGGACAGGCCAAGGGATCTAATTAGCCATATTGCCAGATCAATTTTTCTTCAATACTTTAATTCTTTGACATTTTTTCGCGGGAAATCTTTATCTTTATGGTAGCCATTGTGAAACTCGCTCGCTCACTGAATGTTTTCTAGAAATTTATTTCATTTGAAATATTAGAGTATAACGAAGTTATGGTAAAAAGTATATATCATACTAGTTGATGAAAATTAATTTAAAAAAGTCAATCGTCTTGTAATCATATAGAACTTGTGACGAATTTTAATACAGAAATGGAAGTTAATTCTGGATGTAGTATAGAACACTTAACAAATTTCATTCTGCTTCACCACTAACGTCACTGACAAGCATCAAAGTTTGACTGGCAAATGTGTCACACGTTACACTTTTGTTTTTTAGGATTAGAAAAAATGTAAACGAAGAAGCAGTGATCATAAACCTTTTTCTTCAGTCAACAAAATACAGAAGGAAAACGTTATAAGAAGTAATGACAAATTTTTATTATGTTTATGAATAACACATATGTTATTATTGTAAATTGCCTCAGTGGCTGAATGGTTACCATGCTGCACTGCCACGCAGAGGCCCCGGGTTTGATTCCCGGGCCTTGAGAAATATTTGTATGTCCTATATTTATTTCTCTTGTGAGTTCGGTTGTATAAAAATTACCATTTAATCTTTGGGAGCTGTACTTTGAACTTTTTTATAGTGCAAATTTTTGAAATAAGTTATGTAAAGATTTTTTTATTTTATGGTACTTACTACAAGTAAAAAAAACGTAATAATTACATAAATATGTTTGAGAATTTTATTTGAAAAGACAAAACTTCGTTATGTTACGAAAGAGTAATGTTTGATGAGGTTCAAGGCAAATGAAGATAATTATTGCAATTTGATGCGATACTGAATGTCTATCATAGTTTAAAAAACTATACATACATACAACAGAATATACTCTCCATTGGCAGCTCTTAACAAGACACAATCAGATATTCTTTTCAAAGCTAGCGGTTCTGCTTGTCTTGCTTCCCTGATCGCAATTCCATTTACAGGTCCTTCCGCAAGTTCCGTTTGATCGCTGAAGACGTCCAGGGGCGCAATGTGCTCTGCAACTTCCACGGCATGGACCTCACCACTGACAAGCTCAGGTTAGTATTGAACAATTTAGCTCGTGTTATTTGAATGAATGTTCTTCCCAACGTATGATCGAATGAATACGACGTATTTGTCAAGATCTGCAATGGCAGATCGTGTGTGTGTGATGAAAACAGGATTTTTCAAAAATCACTCAAAAAGTGACATTGAAATTTGGCAAGTGAAAAACTGTTGCCAACCCATGTAAAGGTGTATAGAATTTCTCGATGCTTCACGATCGACATTAAAAAATGCGATATCGATTGTGTGCTTCTTACACATTTACTCGTTTTTCTCTGATCGCTGCTCAGTAGCGACCATGATCACACATACTGGTCGACAAAAAATACGATGTTTATAATCTGTTGCCATTGATAATTACAATTTAACTACGACAAATAGGAGAATTTCAATGCTTTACTGCGTACAAAAAGTAAATCACAATTAAGAATAATGAACAATGTGGACGCAATCGCTTTGTTACCGATGGAAGGTGACACACTTTATATTGATCATTTTCTGATGGAATTTTTGCGTTGTATGGTCATAAAAACGAAAATAAATTAACTTGCTTCTCCGTGTACTCTGTGAAGGTTAAATCGTGCATAAACTTTTTGACAGCGGCTGTGATTTTAGTTGTATTTGTCATAGTCGATTCATTAATTTTATTCAGCGGGAGGATTAATTAACTGTGTCAGCGCCAGGGGATGAAATAACCTTTAAAAGACCTTTTTCTAAACCACATTATTTATTTATTTAATTTCTTGTATGTACGTTTTTGAAACTTCGAAAACTAAGTAAGTTTTCAAATTCTGATGACGACTTCCCACATATAAAAATTAACAAAAAATAGGTGATGCTACAACTATCGTATCCTGAGTTTACTAAGTATAATCAATAGCAAAAGTAAATGACGGTCACTTAGGGTCGTATTCTAGAACTCTACTCAATGCTCAAGTCAGGATTGCACTGGAAACACAAGCACTGGAAATACGACCTTAATGGCAGGGACTTGAGTATGATTTCGAGCGCTTTAAATCATACTCAAGTCCTGACTTGAGCATTGAGTAGAGTTCTGGAATACGACTCTTAGACCCAATGACTTACAAATAAATGGACGACTTGTCTAATACAAAAACAAAGATAAAAATGTCCCAAGTCAACCTATTTAAACGTAGTGACATGTAAAGGAATATGAAAAAGCTAAAACGTTGAATTTAAATTGTAATGTCATCGCAGTACTGTCTAATGTTGCTTGCTTCGCTGTCAGTCGAACAAACGAAGACCAAAGCGTGAATGACGCTCTGTATACGATTTTAACGCCCTATAAGTTCGGACACTTTTTAGCGCGGACCCGACGTCCATATAATTGTAAGTCAATGCTTAGACCACAAAAACTGCAATCTACAATTGCTACATGCATTCGAAAATTTTTATAGTTAAAAGCCGTTTTACTGCAGCTATATTAGCACAAAACAGATCGAGATCACAGAATTTTGTCTGCAATTAGTTTTAACTAAAGGTATGTTTAGCAATGGTCGTTCACGGAAGTTTTTTCTATTAGTAAAGAGCTGTATTTTAGCAAGTAAATCCGGACAGTCTATAGATCCACGAGCCACGCTCAACAGTCGCTTTCTATATTTCATCTCAATCCATAATTTGCTATCTGAGCTTGAATAATCAATACAAATCCTATTTTTACTATTTCAATAACCGATCGATGGATCGTTATTCCGATCTTTTGTTTCAATCCATCTGTGAGGACGTATGGCATTTTTAGATTGACATTTGTATGGTAGTGACAGTTGTGCGCTTTCAATATCCAATCCATAGATTTGACAAATCGGATTTTGCACGTGTTCGATCTATAGAAGCCATCCTCCAATTTTGACCGTTTGTACTGTGTAATCGTGTAAAAATGGAAGTTATTGGAGGCAGTTATTGTGGCCATGTTGGTAGAATCGAAGGTTCAAATATCATCTTAGCTGCATAAATACGACAATCTTAACATTGCAGCCCAGCTATATGAAGGAACACCCTCAGGTCTTCATATCGTTTCAAGCTGCATATAAGAAATGCTGTCACACAATGTAGTGCCTTCGCATTCTGTGTGCATTGGCCCTTTGTGTCGCTGCTACAGTTTTTCAAAACTACATCACGGTTTTTTTATGTTTGTATGCTATTTTTAACCATACTCAGAAGTCAGCCTAGCGTTTAGAATTAAATGTGATATTCGAAATCCGTTTGCTGTATTTCATTATCTGTCTGCAATCTGCTTTCCAATTCGAACGTTCCAAGAGGACCGATAATATGGTGGTGGTTTTGTGTATTGTATTGTAAACATCGTAATTACGACATGATTTTTAGCTCTAATTTATACCATGCATTGTCAATATGACAGGAACTCCTGTCAATTATTCTGATCCGAACTTTCCAGTTGCCTGGTAAAGAATGCCTAGTGGTATTAAGTTCGCCATTTGTACTATTCTTTTGTGCAATAGTTTGAATAAATAAATAAATAAAACATATACACTGACATAAAAATACACCCCGGGACTCATAATTAGACTTAAAGGGCTAGAATATAAAAATATTGTTATCGTCGAAGAAAAAGTTGTCTCCGGTTTTTTAAATTAAAATTTTCAAGGGGGACGTTAAGTATACCAGTTTCAAAGTAGCGTAATAGTTTTAGATCAATCAAGCATTGTTTAAGCTAAGCATTTATTATTGAAAATGCAAGGTGGTTCGGAAGTATATTAGGCAAACGCCTTGCTGCATGTCAGAAGTTCATCAAACCCAAGACTCATTTCTCTCATTGCTATATTCTTATAATCGAGATACTAATCCACGATACCGCTATAAAATCATCAATATATTAGTACTTCTAACCCTGTTGTCCATGGACCCTAAGGCTGCCTTTCTACCAGAGATGTGCGAGGTAGCGAAGCAGGGTGCTAGGAAAAAATCCACCAATAGGATCACTTCATTTTCCTAGCCTCGCCGTGTAATGAATGCCGGGGGGCATGGCGAGCCTACATATGTGCGCGTGGTCTTTTTGAATTTTCGCGCCCTTTGTCGGCCACCCATTATTGAAGCGAGCGAGTCGCGGGTCACTGTGACTCGCTAACCTTTCTCCTTTTTTTTCATCTTTTCAGAAAGACTCCGTGTGTTCTTTGAAAGAAGGATGGCGACATCTCGTGTATTTTAAGACCCAGTGTTTTTGACGACGTACATTAAAGAGACCTATCAATACTGATAATTCATTATCAAAGCATCAAAAAAGCTAGTCGAGTACAGCCTGTAGAAGCTGGGGTTATAAGGTTGATATAGGTTATGTTTATTACATTGTCATTTATTTCGCTTCAGATGTTTGTTCGTAGTAGCAGAAAATAATAAGTTTTCAGTTTGTACCCAAAAATAATAAAAAACTTTATATTCCAAAATCTGTCAAACTCCGCCACATTTAATACAACGTTAACGTGTTCTGCCGCAATGATGGTCACATGTGACATTGACAACAAACCGGTTGAGTCAATCGTGACCATGGGACCTGTAAAGGGCCCGAAACGTCGGTTTGTTTGAAAAAACAAATATACGCGATTTAAATCCGGAAAAATAGTTTCATTTCCTAAGAGGTCTCTTGTCAAAACGTTCCTTTGCTAACTTTCTTATATCTCTCATTTCAATATTGTCTAAACATTTTTGTCACTTTGTGTTTTAAGTCTTTTTATTACTGTTTAATTGATCATTCGATTTTATAGGTTTAATGTTTTATGTGATTTCTACAAAATAACCAATACTTTAGGTAGGTAAACATCCAATCATGATTAATTTGAAACGTGCGTACAAGAACGGTACTTAATCTATGGTGGAACAGAATCAATTGCGTTATGTTCTTGCATTTATTTAAAATACTTTGTTTTACAATTTCTTTATTCTCGGCTTCTAAAAATATATAAAATATATTCATAACTAGACATAAACTAAAACGTAAAAAATACTGGCAAGCTCCATGAACGGTTCTTCTTATATTTTATAATTATTGGGTCAGCTTTCGCATTCCTTCTTTGAGAGGGCTCCATGACTAGAAAAAAAGTTAAGAAACCCTGTTCTAAAGGATAAAGGCTATTTCAATATAGCAGGACAATACTGTGATAAATACCTTTTTTTTTAAATGTTTTGCAACCTCTAGAGGTACAACTAAAATAATAATGTAAACCCTATGCTCCAAGCGACGTGTAGGCCCTAGATTGACACGCCGAACAGGCGGTACTAGCGATGAAAGAGACTCAGTCTTTTAAGGCGTTTTATAACGAATCGACTCCATTTTACAGGACTCGAGTCTAAAATTAAGACTGGAGGTTCGAGTTTTTATTAATAAGAAGACTTAAACTACTTATACGACTTAAACGACTCAAGTTGTTTGCAATGGACTTATATTTTAGCCTTATTAAACCCGAAGTTCATAAATAAAAATGACGGTAGTATGTAGTAAATAATCACGTTTATTTACTTATAATAAAAATTAGGACTGAAAGAGTGATTTAACTAAGCAATAGGTACGAGATTTTAAGACCTAAGACCTAGAAGATTTTTACTTTTATATTATAATGTGTGATAACCGTGTTAGTTTTCATAATAAAATTTTAAGACCTAATTATATAATGATTGCATGCAATATTTTTTCTGCGAGTAAATTAAAATAATGAAATACAATCAATATTTAAAGGTCTATGGAAATCCAGTTCTAACGTGCTTTTTTTTTTATTTTGTGTAATATTGGTCTGTGACCACTTTTCTTATTATGAAGTCCTGGTACTTTTTTTTGAAACTTCTTTAAAATCGCGTGCACAGTAGTGAGATACAATTTATCTGTAATACATAGAACAAATATATACATAAAAAACTCGCGTGTCACCCACCTATTCAGGGTTAGAAAGAGAGCGTGAACCTCCACTTAGTACCTTCATAAATAGCATGTTTCATTCATCATTATTGTCAAACGACAGTATCAAACACTAAAATTTGATAAAATATTTCTGTTGGGTTCTGTATCCATTCATATTTATATTAAAGAAACAAATAATTCCCAAAAAATGAATTCTTGAATTGGTTGTAATTAACTGACTTCTATGAACAAAGCTACGTTAACGTTATCAATCAATCGTAAAATAAATATCTTGTGGGTAGAAATAAAATCACACCTTACGACTCATGACTCGCGACTCCCGAGGCTATAAGGCGCCAGTCGTTTTATTCCTACAAGTCTTTTAAGCTTCCTAGGGTTAAAAGACTTCGACTCGAATTAGTCTTCGTTTTAGTCTTATGTCTCAACACTTGAGGGCAAAGGACTAGACTAGTCGTGAGGCGTTAAAAGTTAGTCGAGGTTTTTTAAAAGGCCTTAAAATACTGAGTCTCTTTCATCACTAGGCGGTACACGGACTGCTTATCTTATTGTACTATTTAATGACCCTGTCTTTTCTTCTCTAGGTGGATGGTGAAGAAATGGCAGACCCTGGTAGAAGCCAACATCGATGTGAAAACCACGGACGGATACCTCCTTCGTGTGTTCTGCATCGGATTCACCAACAAGGATTCTCTCAGCCAGCGCAAGACTTGCTATGCTCAGCATACTCAAGTACGTATGTTACAAATTATATGTCGACGTGTAAGGCAATTCCGCCAATCACCGCTCAAGCTACGGGATTCCTTGTACAACCGATGCCCCAAGATACCTCGATATGTCGAAAATGTTTGTTATGACAAGAGAGCAGCATAGGTGACGCAGCGACTTACAATCTTGTAGTCATATACTGCGAGGTTGATACCACATCTGCGTAGATAATGCACAGTGTTACAAACGCGGCTTGTGGTTTTAAACAGGCTATTTGTATCACTGCTACAAGCCAAACTAAAAACGTACGAATGATTTCTAAATGTAATTAAAGAGTATGTACACGGCGTCACGTACACGCGCCGCAGACGCGTTGTAGACGCTCTATTTTACTTTTGTTTGTTAATTTCAGTTAGTTTTTGAAATGAAGCTACTGCAATAAATTCTAAGTGGAAACTCCAGTGGAGTATATAAGATTCTTGCTTGCAACGCGATATTTGCGCTCGTTTGAATCGATTCACTAACGCGTACGCTCAGATGACGACGCGATAAACCACGCTCAGCCAGCGCAATAAGGCGGTTTCGTCCACTAAAGCGATTATTACTTACCAGCAGTTAAATGATTGTTTACATGCATAAATTAAGGAGTATTTGAACGCGCACAGAAAATTTAAATTATTAAGTGATGACGTAATTTACTAAATTTTAACTTAACTATTTGGCTAGATCAGATGTTTTGGGATTCATTCACTATTTAAATAACGGTCTTACAAATACCACACAGTTAAGGATATTGTCACAGGAACGTGCAGATATGTTACACGAACGAACTTGTTCAATTTTAATTTTCAACTTAAGTCCTATACTTATCAAATTCACATTTACACCAAAACTTGAAAATTGCCCAGCGGTTTAACGACAAGCCGCGCCACCCGCTGCCCCGTCAGTCGCCATCGGGCGCTTGTCAAACTCGCATCTGTGATAGCCTTTTCTTATTTAATACGTCGCACTGTTAATACAATAGTGTACTAACTCAAAATGTGCAGTTTTTCAGAATCGATGAAAAACGAATTACTCACTTTCAGTGAAAGATTATTAAAATTTATATTTAAATCTACACGGTTAAAGTTTATTACAGACATGTAAACAATTTTCTACTCGCCTGATATTTGCATAAAGACTTACAAAAAGTTTTGTCTCATTTTGAGTTCAGTAGATATGTTTCAATTGTTTCTTACAATATTCAAATGACGCTTTTATTCACATGTAGAGAATCAAATTTTACATTCAGCATTAGTATAATCTCGAATTTCACATATATATTGAGTTACAACACTATTGTAATAACAGTGCGACATGTAAGCCAGCCATTATACACTATCCTTAAGGAGCACCCTTGCCCAGTAGAGCGACATGTAATCGGCTTATAATAAGGCTAATTCTCACAATTTTAGACAGATAAATACTTTATTTCTCACACATAAGAACAAGAACAGTACATAAACAACTTAAAACTAATGTGGGCAAGGGCGGTCTTATCGCTAAGAGCGATCTCTTCCATACAGCCTTTGAGGCAGAGAGAAGCTAATAGGAGCGGGAGACGAAGTGTGCTAATTTTAGAAATTAAAAATAAAAATAAAAATTAATTGTATAAAAAAAATTAAAAAAAACAGTCATTTATCAAATAGTCCATAAATAACGATACATTGTACCTACATAAATATACGTATATTTAAATGTACCTAAATAGACTTATACTTACTAATAAATATATACACGTTGCAGACTAGGACTGTGTTAGAAGATATTTACGCAATCCGGTTTTGAAAATAGGGAACGACTTGGAATATCGGATTTCATATGATAGATCGTTCCACAATTATGCAGCCTTCATCGTAAAGGAATCTTTGTAATACTCATAGCGAGTAAAAGGAGGCTTCAGGTTATCCATTGTAGACCTTATTACAATTTTACTACGCAGACTTTTCGCGCTTCCCCAGGTCCGCGCCATCAGAAAGAAGATGTGTGAAATCATCACCCGTGATGTGACCAACTCTGAACTCCGTGAAGTGGTGAACAAATTGATCCCAGACTCCATCGCCAAGGATATTGAGAAGGCGTGTCACGGCATCTACCCGCTTAGAGACGTGTGCATTAGGAAGGTAAGAGGTCACTTTTATTTCGGATCAATGGTATTATACACTATAATTCTATAAAGCCATTATATGCTTGCCATCGTGGTTAAAGGACTTACCAATTCGGCGTAACGCACTCGCCGATATACAAAGCGTTTTTTAAATGTATATAAAATTCTTATCTGTGAAAATGTTATTATTGCTTCATAATAATATCGAATATAATTAATCGATGTTATTATTACATTAAAATTTCGAACATCTTTGAAAAACATAACAATTTTATTTGACCTCAATTTTAATATCAGACGAGATGAAGTTTTATTCGAAATGAAATGTCAATAGCAAACAATTTGGACAATTTCACACGTTACTTGATATCGAACGATATGATAGTTGGGGCCGATACCAGTTTGTCATTGAGTTAAAAATAAAAACTACGGTTGTGTGACATGCGTGCGAAAAGTTTTTATTTTCCGCCATTTCCCCAGTCACAACATGCGGTTCCTGAACACATCACAGAGAGCTTATAATATGTGTTTAGATAAAGCAGTGTACGTAACTGTACATAATTAGGCATTAAAACGCTCGTGTGATGTTTTTATGAACATAAACCCACACTCGTATTTTAATGCCTTTCATTATGTAACATACAACAACTATAATGTTTGCTTTGTTGTTGTGTATGATTATATATATATATATATTTTTTGTTATTTTATTTTAATTTTTTGTATTAATTTAGCTTTATCTTTCTATTATTTTTCTCACTGTGTATTTTTGTGTTGTGGCGTAGTAAATGATTTCTATTCTATTCTAATTTTCTATACAAGTTTTGCTTTGTTTAACTTTTGTATGATAATTCCAAATGATGATCCACTCAGCTCGCAATGACTACCAACATGATGAAACTTCATGTTCCCTTTTGATTTATTTACTGATATTTCGTATACGCTTACACAGTCGAAAATTATCGCGTTCAGTTTGAACTGTAAAATTTTTTTCCACAGGTAAAGGTACTGAAGAGACCACGTTTCGAGATTTCCAAGCTTATGGAACTTCACGGAGAGGGTGGTGGCGGCAAACGGGGGGAGGTTGGCGATAAGTCCGAAAGACCAGAGGGCTATGAACCTCCCGTTCAAGCTAGTGTCTAAAGTTAATATAACATCTTAAAAATGATTTTTGGTTTTGTTTTATTTTAGTTTTTAAGATCCTTAATAAATAAGTTGTGCATCATCATTTTCAGCCAGAGATTGGGAAGCGCCCAGGCTTTAGTCTTCACGCCTGTTAATAACAGTTGCAGTGCCACTTAGAGCTTTAATTTGATTTAAGGCGGCAGAAATAGGTAAGGCAGTACTTCCCTGGATAAGCTCTTTCACAAGGAACTCTATACTATTCGTCGAGAGCTTGCCTATTTTTTAAATATTGCACCTTTACAGCGAAGTGGCATAACGCAAAACCAACTTTTCGAGAAACGCAAAATACACTCCCGGACTTGAGCCACCTTGCATTTTTATCCTCAAAGGGGCTAGAATATAAAAATATAGTTAATCGTCGAAAAAGTTTTCTCTGGTTTTTTTAAATTCAATATTTCAATAAGGACTTCAGGAAATTACGTTTAGTACACTCGTTTCAAAATTGCATAATATCATTTTTGAGTAATCGAGCATTGTTTAAGCTAAGCATTTAACATTGAAAATGGAAGGTGCCTCGAAATATGTATCCGGGAGTATATTTAAAGTTGTGACATATTTACATTCTTAGAATAATAATAGAATGGTAGTTTCATATCAAACGAACTGTCACAAGTGAGGCACAAATCAAATTCATGTAGGCTAGTTTTAGTAGTAGGCTAATTTTCGGTTTTAGTTAATGTTTATATAAAAATACAAGTTGAAACGCGTTACGTCCTTGTGGAATGTGATGTTAGTATCTATTTTATGTTTGTATGACGTATTTTTACCCTCATTTACCGCACATTCGTCATTTTTAGCTAAAATTCTGGAGCTGTTCGCGGTGCAAGTTGACCTTGAGCACTGAAGGCCCGCCCACTCGTGTAGGCCTTTTTGGCGCGCTTCAATTCGCCTCACTTAGCGTGTGCGGACTAGGTTTCTATGCGTTATTATTCTAAGTTTCCATTATTTAATTTATTACTCTTGAAGTACTAATGTTAAAGTGATATAATATTCAGCTTTATAACCTCGTTCATTGTTTCTGATTATATAATATGTGTAAGTATAAGTTATATTAATATTACCTATTTAGTTTGAAATTAAATTGTATAATATGAATGACACATCAATATAGCGAGATTTTGGAGATAAATTATTAATATAACGCAATTTTGCGATAAAATATTACGCAATTTTTGAGATAATACTGTGTTGGTTGTCAAGTACGATATGTATTATAATTTTCAAAAACTAGTCCATAAGGTCTCTCTTACCACCTAATGAGAATGAAGTCTCTTATTTGCACCAGGTAAACAAGATGTTATGACCTTATCAAGATTCATCAACCCATTTCTGAAAAGTAACAAATAAAATATGAATTTCGGATCGAAAACGATTCACTTGCTAGTCTATCACTTTTTCGCCAATGATGGTGGAGTGGTCAATTTCTGTCTCAAGGGGAATCCCTCACCGTGATCTCGAGTACATAATACAGGTGATTCAAAAACCACTGACCATTTTAAAGGAGCATACTGTATAATGGGAAAAAAAAATATGTTCGGTTTTTTTTCCAAATACTTTACAAATAAATAAGTTATGACGTCTCAGAGTTTACCGAAAAATTGTGAACAACATTGACTCCCGATAATTAGCAGATGTCGTATAGCAACAAGAACTGTGTGGGGGCAGTGGGCGGAGTCAGCACGCGAGTTTATGTATTTGACGGGTGCCGTCGCGCGGCGCGACGTGCTGGCGCCTAGGTGTCTAGACAACTGCACCGATCGCTCAATCGTATTTACTATTTTGAGGTAACCACGCGTTAGACATTATTGGGAAATATTACCATAAAAAAAATGTTGAATATTTTTGTTTTATTTCACTAATGCGTTCTATTACTAAATCTTATACACAGGAAAAAAATGGACAGTGATTTTTTATCACCCTGTATACACGACACTAAAATACGAAATTCAACAATGAAATGATCATAACAACACATTATCACATCGTGTTACTGCAATAGCGTTGCGTCATCGTTTCATTCATTTAAAATTTAATAAACACTGTTTTATTGAGAAATTGGAACAATAAGTAACAACCTTTGTGCTTTCTTCAATTAACAAAATGTAGTTGACATCAAATGTGGGAATGAGTACAGTAAGTTTTTTAATGCCTCGAGAGTTAAATACCAGCGGTCAGTACTAACACTGAAGTGTGCTAAAAAAAAAAGGGCGCCTTCAAATTAGACTACTCCGCTTTACAAGTGGCGCGACTGAGCTTCACAATTTTTTAGTTCAATAATTCAAAACGGTGTCGACTAAATATAGTTTTTTACGACTGGAACCGACTAAATCACGTCTTTTTTGTGTAATCAGATCTAAGCTAGGTGTTGTGGTCCTCGAGATTGAGATGTGGTGCTGCTGGAATTCCACTGTGGATAGTAAAACGCCCTTATAACTTTTAAACGGTGGACCGACTCAGTAACGACTTTTTAACTTGCTAGTCAAATTTCAAAAACTCGATCATGGTCACGCTGGAATAAGTGACGCCAGTAATTGTGACTACAAAAGGGGTGCGCGTGTGTCACGAGTCACTGCAACAGGGCTTCTAAATATTGTATGAAAATTAATAGTGACGCGGCTGCAATGCCACTGCAGCTCAACTTATGTTGCGTAACAACGTTTACCCTAAAAGTAAATATCAGAATATGATAATACTGGGTACCCCGTTTCGCCGTCACACATTTACATACATTAAACATTTTATATTGAGTCCACATAAGCACTACGACAAGAAAAGTATCTACCTACTGACATAATTTTGTATCATTATCAATATCCTATCGTAGTCCACTGCTGGACATAGGCCTCTCCCAATGCGCGTCATTTCGCCCGGTCCTCAGCTCGTTGCATCCATCTGCTGTCAGCAGCCCTTTGCAAATCGTCACTCCGTCTGGCCTTAGGGCGTTCTACACTACGTTTGCCGAACCGTGGTCTCCACTCAAGAACTCGCTTCCCCCGTCGGTAATTTTGTGTACTGTGGATCGTATCGTGTGTGGATGTGGATTGTCTAATAAGTAGGTGCCTAATCAATCAAATGACGATGTCCAGATTAAGCTTCATTCGCATCATTAGTACATTAATTTGGTAGAATATTACTTCATCATCATGTCAGCAGGAAAGCATCCACTGCTGAACATAGACCTCCCCCAAAGATTTGTAGAATTGCAAATGTACAAGAATACCTAATCGCACGACGTACACACAAATAAAAAACAGTCGAACAAAACCTCAACCTTTTTTGTAGTTTGTTAATAAATACTCTTTAGACGTATGATTACCTCCGGCCTTATTTATACCAAGGAGACTATTTTTTGTTTTTTTTTTCATTTTGTTTCTGTAGCATTGTCTCTTCCATTAACGGGCAGTGGCGCATACGGTAATTAAATTCGGAATAAAGTGATTGTCATCAATCTCCAACTTGAAGTTATAATAAAATTCCGACGCGCCGTAACGTGTTAGATCCATGTGTACTCGTAAATCTTTCAAAGGACATGATCACCTAGGTCCGAGACACTTAAAAAGATGCATAATAAAAATAACGACAAAATAATAACTTGAGTATAACTGGGTATTTCTCCTAGAAGGGCTAAGTTCTCTGACTTCGGTAGGCGAATTTTTTTTCTTAATTTCAGGAAAAACATTGAGCGGTAAGGAAAAATAACTCAAACTTACATAAGATTACGTTAATTGGGCAACTAGATTGTTATCAGTTAATGACTTAATTGATCCACCGAAATCAGCTACCACCGAAATCAGAACAATTCAACAAAAGGCACAATTTTTGTATAAAATATTAAGAAAAAGGCAATAAAAACATTCAATAATCTACTACGATAAACATTTACTAATATGACTAACTACTAAATCAAGCTTTAAAAACTAAAATTTAATAATCAGAACGACGCAAACAAAATATCCAGTCACCTTATGACTATTAATTAAAATCAGTTTTCAGTTTAGCTGATCAACTTTTTTTAAACCGCACAAAGTACCTATTTCCGTATCTCTTTAAAAAAAATTAGAACGCAATCCGTAGCTACAAAAGCAATCAATTTTATGGAATTATTAGGTACCTTTCATTACTTTTCATAAATGACGAGGTAATTCATGCAACTTCAAAATCTTTCTTTCCGCTTTTTCCTCGCATACCTGTGTCTATATTTTTCTTTAAACCATTTAGGTATATATAATTGGACCGCTTTTTATCTTTGCTTTTTGAGCACGTTCCTTCATCTTCTTGATTCCCAATGTTTCTTTTCCGTTTTTAACCGACCTCAAAAAGGAGGAGGTTCTCAATTCGTGTTGTATGTTCTTTTTTTTTGTATGTATGTTACGCGATAACTCCGGTATTTGTGAACCGATTTTCATGATTCTTTTTTTGTTGGAAAGGGGGTACTTCCATAGTGGTCCCATTTCATGTTGAAGAAAAGCATCCAGCTCGAAGGGTGGCTGTTCACGCATGAAGATTCATTTTTATGAATAGCGCCTAACTTTAATTTAGGCGCAATTACTTTAATGGCTGATTTTGCTTTTTCTCCAATTCAAGGCGTTTTTCACTCCATATACTTTGAGTAGTAAGAACCAATTTTTATTATCTCCAGTGTCAAGTCCTGTATAGTGGCGAACTAGGGGATATTTCAATAAAACTTAGCACATAGACGTAATTCCACTTACTTTTGAGGTCGGTTTTTTTAGTACTCTGTACTGAGATTATGATTTTCCTTATTCATTTTTAACGGGAAGCAAGTAGTAATATAAAATTGTGAAAATCAATGATATATACTAAACATTTATATGAAAAAACGAGCCCTGTAGGGTACAGGGCTCGGGCTTGGCCTGCGGCGCATGGTCGGGTTCAGTTTACGGGGTGTGCTCATACTCTTCGATGGTACAGCAATTAGTCGAGGTCGATTCCCGATTTGGGCCAATTTAAGAAAC